CATGTCTGCAGCATTAGTAGGGAATTTCATTAATGTGCAGATTCTAGCTAGCATTGAATGCATTAGCTGGTGACTTCTATACATATGGCATTAGCTGGTACAATGCCACCCGCAGGAGGTATTTGAACTGCTTCAGTGTAAGCTGTTAGACTACATTTTCTGGAAAAATACTGCAAACTAGATTTTGGTAGTATTGATTTAAGTTAGATTCTCATCCTCCCCACTATATCTGTTTACCTAGTGAGTTTTGCCTTTGGTTTTTGACCAAAGGAAGCTGGGACAAAGAAACGTATTGGAAAGGGTAAGAAATAGAAGAAGGGGTTACATTTTAAAATGAAAAAGCAAGATGGCATCTAACATGTAAAATGGTTTGTAAAAGTTCTGAAGTTAAGATATTGTGGGGCAAAAAACTTCAGTAGCTGTGAATTAGTTGGATAAGGAGAAACTGTGTTATAAAAGTTGATCCAAGAATATGATATTTAGATGCCAAAGGGCATGTACAGCTTCTCAAGTTTAGAAATTACTGGCTTAGGCAATCGAACATATGCTCAAATATGGATTTTTCCTTCGTGATTTGGAGACTTTTTCATGTTTTTTGTGTTGTTGTTTTGGTAGGCTGCCATAACCCTCCATTTGGTTGACTTGGATCTGGTACCTCCTGCCTTGGATCTTGGAAGTCCAGGCTTGATTGGCATTTGATCAGGGTGAGAACTAAGAGCAGGCCCCTTGGCAGGATTTACAAGTTCTAGATGCAAGCTGCCTCCATGATTATTCCTCCCGTTGTTGTACTCTTATGTCTAGTTCAGGGGGTACTGGTAGGAGAAAGAAAAGATGTTTCCTGTTAGAGTTTCTTTGGAGGGAGTAAAAGAGGAAGAAGGGGGCTTTAGCCTCAGCCCCAATGAGTTGAAAGCCCGGGAAGATGCCACCATTGGTACCTTTTTGTATCAGAGATGTTACTGGGTTTTTCATATTATAACCTAAGCAACAATATACCTTTCACAGGTGCTACCCATGTGGCTGGGGAGTCTGAACTACATAACACTAAATTGAAAAAGAAATGATATTCCTTTATGTCTACTGTGAACATTTTTGAATTTTATAACTCACTACTGGATGAACTCTAAATCTTATAATTCTGGATTTCAGGTTCTCTGATTTGTTTTCTTATGTAATGGCTGCATGTCCAAACCATGAACATATAGTTCATTTAAACATCGTATGGCTTGTACAAGAATAATGGTTCCATCTACCCCTGCCAGGTGGAAAAGGATCTTCTATCACATCTGATGGGTGAATCACTTTTTGTACTGATAGCATCTCTTCCAAATGTCATCCTATTTGAGTACAATTGATGACAGAGAATCCACTACTTTCCTAAGTCCATTTAGTCTTTGGATACTTCACATGCTTATATTGGTCAGAAATCTGTCAAGTTTCCATTTATGGCGATTTTGTACTATACCCACTTAGTTAAACTAAAACTATAATTTGCAGAATCCCTTTCTCACACAATTCCCTTGTGTAGTCCTTGGCTAATTTGGGGCACAAGAGAAATGTGTGCAGTGTGTTGGAGGCAGAAGGGAAGGGCCAGCCTGTTTTCATGCTCTGAAGATCAGAGTAGGGAGCCAGGCGCTTTGCAGCTCCCATGCATTATCATTTATCTCTGGGCCCCAGGGCAGGTGTGGGGCTGCCCTTGGCTCTCCCCTCCTCCATCTCCTGTACATCTCTGTTGGCTTCTGCAGGTCCTGGACAAAGTGTGCAGATTTGCAGTAAAGGCACCTTTCCCACCTCATCACCCATGATGTAGTTGGTTAGAGACATGTTTTCCTTTTTCATCTCCCTTCATATCTAGCTCCTCTTCTCAATGGCTCACCTGCTTGAACTATAGCAATTTCTGGCCAAACAACAGACACAGCTCCTAAAATTGGTATAAGAATGAACTCCTTGCCCTGATCGGTTTGGCTCAGTGGATAGAGCGTCGGCCTGCGGACTGAAGGGTCCCAGGTTCAATTCCAGTCAAGGGCATGTACCTTGGTTGCGGGCACATCCCCAGTAGGGGCTGTGCAGGAGGCAGCTGATCGATGTTTCTCTCTCATCGATGTTTCTAACACTCTATCCCTCTCCTTTCCTCTCTGTAAAAAATCAATAAAATATATTTTTTTAAAAAAGAATTAACTCCTTTAATAAATTTTTTCACATATCACCCACAGTGATATACGTCACTTCCTTAACAAAATCTAATAAATTATTGGTCTATTTCTCCCCCCTCATGACATACATAGTTTAACATGTGACATATATTTGAAGATAGCTGTTGGTCTCTTATCTTTCCTAGTCATTGTTGTCATTTCTCTAATTTAACAACTATCATTTCTTCTAGTATTCTTCATAGAAGAAATATGATTTCTTCTTCCTTCAACATTGTGATAAATGCTTTCTAGTTATCCTCTATCCCTCTTACAATTTACCCAAAAGGTTGAATGCTGTTGCCCAGGTGGATTGTGACCAACGGAGTGAAGGGGTAACTAATTCTTTTTACTCTAGATATGAAATGCAACTTGGATTAGCAAATTTACCATTTCATAAATCTCACTATGTTGAATGATTCAGAGCATCTGTATGACAAAATGGTATCCATCTGGGACTCTATTCATGTCATTTCTCAAATAGTTCCCCTCACTTCTATTTGTCAAGGTCTGTTTGGATCCTGCATCTGTAGTTGTTTCTTGTCCCAGGCTTTGGTCAAAATGTGAAGTCAAAAAACTTGAGGCTATATCCCAGCTCTACTATTTTCTAGCTTTGTTATTTGAAATGAGTAACATAACTGCAATATCTCAGTTTCCTCATTTGTGAAATGGAAAATAAAATGTTTAAACTCCCTCATTGAATAGTTACGAAGATAAGAGTAATTTTGCCTATAGGTGTTGGGATAAAAAACAATAATGCAATCTGAAAATATGATAAATATTCCTCCATAGGCTTCAGAGTCATTGGTTAAAAAGTGGTGAAGCAATAGGACCAAAGACAAAATATCTCTAGGGAACTTGCACAGACTGGCAATTATTGGATGTTGATGCCAATTGATTCAAATGTTTCGTGTAACCAAGCGCCCTAGCATGCAGCCCATATTTTTACATTTTGTGCGTTGGCATGAGAACCTTTGTTAGGTGTCTTACTCGAGTTCAAGTATATTTTGTCCAGCGAATATCCCTGATCTGCCAGCCTACTAGCCTTGTCAGAGAAAGAAATGAGGCTCGTCTTGTCTCTGTTGAACCCACACTGTGTGCCAGGATTGCCGCTTTCTTTTCTGGGTTTTTACAACCATTCTTTGAACAGTTTGCCAGGAGTGTTTTCCAGGACCAGCACTACATGCACTGGTGGAGTGTGGTACTGGCTTTCTCTCCTTGTGTTTTTCTTTCCTTTTCTTTTCCTCATCTCCAGTCCGCTGGCACGAAGGCTCTTTCTCCCTCAGTATTTACAAGAGGGAAATTCAAGAGCAATCAGCTTTTTGTTTGAGTCCAGGTTGCAGTCACATTGGCTTATCTCACCTTTGCTGAGGTGGTGGTAGATCCCAAGCAGCCGTGAGCTGCGCTTACTATTGTTAAGTTAAGAATAGTTAAAATCCATGTAATTGGAAGACCTTAGGAACATATGCCTAAATATTATAAATGCATTTAAAAATCCAGTATTGCTTTCAGTTTCCTTATGAAAGCAAAATCAACAACACAAAAAGCC